CCGGCCGCTCGCGGCCGGCCCCCGGGCCGCAGCCATGGCCCCCCCGAGCGGCGGCGTCCCCCCGGGCCTCGGCGGGCGCCCTGCCTGCGCGCTGCTCCTGCTCTGCTACCTGGTGAGCGCCGGACCCTGCCCGGGTCCTCCCCTCCGCGCGGGGCCCCGGGGACGCGGGTGGGGGCGGCCGGGGACCTCCGCCTCGCGGGCGGGTGCGGCACGGCTAGTTTTGTCTCTTCCTCGCCGCCGCACCCTGGACGCTCCCGGCACCTGGGACGGGTACCCGGGGCGCGGAGAGGGGTGCGTGGACCGGAGTTGCGGCGCTGCGCTCTCGCCGGGGTCCCTTCCTCTCTCTCCGAGACCCGCTCCAGACCCGGGTCAGGTTCCCCTCGACACCCAGTCCTGTTCCCCACTCCACCTGGGAGCCTCACCACCCCGCGTTTCCTCCCTCCCCGCTGCGCACGGCTCTCCGGCTTCCTCCCCGCCGGTCCTGGGCGTCCCTCACAGTCTTCTCGAGGTTCCTTTCCTTCCCGTGCCCAACTTCGCCTCTTTCTCTCTGCGAATGCCACCCGCCTCGCCCCTCCTCTTAGTTTCCACCCGGTCCTCATGGCCCGGACCGTTTTGTGTGGACGTACCCGGCGATGAACCTCGTATTTCCAGCGCTCTTCAACTCCTCCATGGTCACTCCAGCCAAGTTGCGGCTGCCAGCAAGAAATCTAGTTCTTTGTAACACGCTTACCGCCAGAGTGGGGACTTTAGCTGCGTCTTGAACATTGTCATTTCAGAGAACACGTTTGGCTCATGCGTGTCCGTTTACAATTTGCACACTTCCTGGCTTTTGTTTTAGTCATCAACTAAATGGCAGTAATCTGTTTTTCAAAACCAACTCATTTAAAATACCAGAGTAATTTAGACCCTCGGAACAAGGTGGGGGAATATTCCCCAATTCCTTTGCTGGCTTGCTTTCTTCTGCTTTGAATTCTCCTAAACAACAGTAAATTTACAGGAGGTGACACCATTTCTGTCCAGCCTACCTTCTGTTCCAGGATCCTGCAGAAACCTCGGGTTATCTCGCCATATATTACTGTAAATAAATGAAATGGAAAATGCTGAATCATGAAACTGATGTAATAGGAAGTTCACAGAATGCTGAAAAAGAAAAGAAAAGAAAAAAAATTGAGTAGTGTCATTGTCCAGAATTCTTTTCATTTATGTGGCATTGCCATTATTTGGAGACTTTCTTCTTGGAGGCAAAAAACTGCTTAGGAGACATTGGCAGGATTTAGAATTTGATTCCAAAGAAAGTTGCCACTCAGCCCAAGTTTCTTTTGATACCCTTTACTTGTTGAATGTTTCACTTCTTGAAGCAAGAGGATGTAAAAATGCAAATTGTAATTCTGCCTCTTCATCTACCTGTTGAGCAATCCATGCTTTTCCTCATATTGTAAAATAAGCCAGTACCATATTTTGTGGTTGGCTTTAGTTCATATTTTTATAAGAAGTTGTCAGTTAACATGAATGGTTTTTTTCACCCAGGAGATATTATTATTGAATATTTATGCTACAGGGTTACAGCACACAGGCTTATAAATAAAACTGCCATAATAGATGACAGGGTTGCAGTTTAAACAGATGATTCCCATCCACAATGCACTGGTTACCCACAGAGGCAGAAATGACGTAGTAGAGCAGTGTGTGAAACATTAATGTACAAGTGGTCAGGAAAGTTCCACGTGGAAATACCAAGACCTGGCAAGCAGAGACTGCTTCTTGACAGTTACAAGAAATCAGAGAAACAAGAGCAATAAAGGCCTAAGTGGTCCACAGGAGCAAAGACAGATGATGGAGGAAGTATAAAAGTGCTGTATGGGACTTCCCTGGTGGTGCAGTGGTTAAGAATCCGCCTGCCAAAGCAGGGAACGTGGATTTGAGCCCTAGTCCGGGAGGATCCCCCATGCCGCGGAGCAAGTGGGCCGGTGAGCCACAGCTGCTGAGCCTGCGCTCTAGAGCCCACGTGCCACCACTATTGAAGCCCGCGCGCCTAGAGCCCCTGCTCCGCAACAAGGAAAGCCCCCTCGATGAGAAGCCCGCGCACCGCAGCGAATAGTAGCTCCTGCTCACCGCAACTGGAGAGAGCCTGCGCGCAGCAATGAGGACCCAACGCAGTCAAAAGTAAACTAAATAAAATTAAAAAAAATAAATTTATAACATTTCTGTATGGACCAAGGGGGATTTGAGACAACAGATCACAGAGAGGACAAAAATGATGCTATGGACAGACTATGGTGAGTTAGTGAAGTGGTGAGATAGGGCTCCAAAAAGAGAGATTATAGAAAATACTGTAATGTGGAAAATAACTAGAGCATGGATGAATGTCTTGGCAGACAAGGAAGGGATGGATTTTGGAACTACCATGGAGAGGGAAATGTCAGTGCTTCCTGAGTGTGTGTGTTTCCTTCAGATGGGCTTCGGATATGGTACTGTTAAAAAAAAAAAAAAAAAACTTGAATAAACAACAAAACCATTTTTCAACTGAATGAGAAAGTTTTGCAAAACCCAGGGAAGCAAAAGTGTGACTTGGAAGGTGGGCTTCACCTTTTGTTCTAAAGGTCTAGCCGTTGGTAGGGATTTTGCTCGAGAGGTATGTGCTACCAGAGAAACTGCTGAAAGGTAAGCCTTCTTGACCTTGGAGAAATTCAGTTGCAAATTGGGGAAAATGTAAAACAGCTGCATGAACACATGAAAAACATAAACTACTGAGAAAAATGCATGAGTGTGTGTCTTGTACATCAAGGAATACTTCCTAGAGAAAGTGCTTGGTCAGGGCAGGGGGGTGGACAGATGGAGGGTGGAAGTTGAGCAGAATAGCTAAGCAGGGCCTCAGGAATAGGTAGACACTAGAGGAAGAAAGCTATCCCATAATTTGGAAACCTAAATAATAATGGTAGTAGTGGTAATAATAGTTTGCATTGTGCTAGGTTATTTATATGCATTACCCAATATTAATATGAACAATAACCTTGTGAGGTAGGAGCTAGTATGATCCCCATTCAGATGAGTTAACTGAGGCTCAGAGAGGTTAAGTTAGTTGTACTAGGCCACACAGGTAGTCCAGGTTTCAAACCCAAGTCTGTCTCCTTCCAGAGCCCCAGTTCTAGCCATTCATTGCCTTCTGGATTTTGCTGCTTGTAACCCATTCCCCTTATGCATAGATGTATGGGCCATTAGCAGAGTTCTCAAAATTAGCAGCTTCTGTGAAATTGACCAGGATGTGAGGTCATGTCTAAAGTAGCCTAAGATATACGAAGCAGGAAGCCCAGGCCACAGAGTAGAAGCAGGATGTTAAAGAGGGCGGGGGAGGGGGGCAGGAAAGTAAAGCCAGAAGATATTTGCCATCACAATGGAGAGGTAAAGGATGGGGTCCTTGTATAATCCAGAGGCAGCTGGCAGAGTTTAGCACTTGAGTTTGTATGAACATGTGTCCAAGAGTATAGCCAAGTGTGCCTTGGAATGTATTACAAAGACAAATTGCCTGTGATTTGGGGACTGACTCGTGTTTTGTGTTATCCCTACCTATTTGCTGGTTCGCAAGGGCTGGAGGTTGAGAGAGACCTTCTAGACAGATGCCTTTAAGCCCCTGCCACCCTGATGGAGAACAGGGTCCTGAGGTGATGGGCACATTCCTTCTCCATTGGCTGGGACAGAATAACCTTCAGTAGCAGCCCAAGAACAGTACTGTGACTGTAGCTAGGATACTGCCAAAGCATGAATAATTGTGACGAGGCCTGAAAGATAAGTCACAGAACGATGCCAAGCAGATTTCTGAAAAGATGATCCCTGTTTCCAGCAGCTGCCCCCCAAATTCTGAGCTCACCAAAGGTCAAGGTGCAGAAAGCCTCAGAGAGGATGGCACCTTGAAAGCAAAAGGTCCCGGAAACCGCTTCCACTGAGGTTACGGGTGCTGAGTGGTGGGGTCCATGATGGTCTTTCTGTGCCTCAGAGACTCCCTAGCCATTCTCGTCCATCATTAACTCTTACCTTCCACCAGACTTGGCTAGAACAGCCTGAGACTGCCCAGCCCCATTTGTGACAATGGCACTTGGAGAAGGCAATTCTGTCTCTTCCGAACTCTGGTCTTGAAGT